CGCCTTACCTAATACTAATGAATCACTACTTATAAAATAAACAGAAATTTCAGAAACCCAGCATAAGTTCAAAAACGTTTGTTTCGAATTTTGGTAACCTTAATAATAAATAAGTCTAACGATTACCAAATAAAGCATAATACTAAATTATTTATTGCAAAAAAAATGTAAGGAAGAAAACGGAAAAAGCGACCAACGAAAGTTTGTAACTCTATGTTTTAAAGTAGGAATCAAAGTCTCCGCATTAACTACCCACAACATTGGTATAATAATAATGAACAACTAAGGCAATTTAGAAAATAAAAACGATCATTAGTTGAATCGTAAATAACCATTTCACGCCGACTTTTAGACATAAAAATAGTTAAACATTGTTCGTAACGATTTAAAAAAATATAAACCGAAACTTTTATGTCCGTAATTTTCTCATTACCACAAAACAAGATTAGTCGTGTAGAACAATGGTACAAGCGAAAGCGATAATTTGGATCATTGAAAACACATAAAATTTAGCTGTGGGTTTTTGTGGGCGAATATGAGAAAGTTAATGTTCGGAATATAAAAAACACAATTATACCTATGCTGGGAGTTTTGTTTATTTACTATTCGGGTAGTGAATATTTTTTTTATTTATTTCTAAGCGAATAACGAAATAAACATGTTTGGGTGCGTAACAGTATGTAGTAACAAATATGTAACTCGCCTTATATACAAAGTGTGTTGCATCGAAATCTGTAATTGTTGACTAGTCATGCATGTCTCTATGTGTTTACGGAAAAGTCGATGATATTACTTTTCATATACAATAACATTTCTTTTAGAAAACTTATAACTAATTTCATATAAACGTTTACTTTGTACTACCTCTTTGAAGGTTACTATGAAGCGAAACCTCCATCATTAATATCATTTGAAATTTTTGTCATTATAATATTTCGCTCCTGCTTATAAATTAGGCCATACAAAAATAAGCAGTACCAATCGCGTTCGCTGACGCGTGGTTTCCGCCACTTCCTGAAAGTGGCCTTTCACCGTTTACTTACGCGTTTAGAAACAAATTTTATAATTTTATGCAGATTCTTTGTCGGAACTATAATATGCTTTTGTAATCCAGTGGTCTAGAGGTACTTAGCGGATTAATAATTTAAATTTATTCGTATTTAAAAGATTTCTCGAAACATTTATGATTATTTTTTATTTATGACTTAAGTAAGTAATTAAAGAGACAGTCAAATTAGTGCCTCTGTACCGAAGCATTCGGTATTGTATTGATTTAGATCGTACGCACGTCTGAAACTAAACTATCGTACAACTGTTAAGTCCCGCTTTGATTCCTATTACCTTATATGGAGATGCGCACTACTCGATTTTTAGTTGTGCAACTAAACAGTTGAATTGGCTGCAAAACAATTGACAAACACACAATATTTGTGCGATATTTTAGTCAAAAGTGTAAGCCCGCTCTTATGAATCACGATTTTTTTAATGTATTTCGTAGTCGTATAGTCTACTGTTTCTTATAATTTCTAATGAAGGCTAAATTTTTACACAAAGTTTGTTAACTATTATGTTACTTTCAATACAAGGGTATTCGTGTTATAAACAAAAGTTACAAAAAAAATGTGCAAAAAAGTTACATCTTCGAAAACTTGCTTGAGCGATCAAAATATTGCATAAAGTGTTATCCGATACCGGAATTGTAAGGTTTAAATTTATTTATAGAAAGTGGAGCAATTACAGTCGCGTGAAAGTTACGTAAGGGAGTCCCTTATGATGTCATATTAAATTGTTTATTTTACGTTGATATCCAGGTGATGGTATGATATCTTTCATTCATTTAGTATACTCGTATATCACATACCTAATTTTTAAGCTTTGCTAATATCACGTGTATTGGCCACGGGATAACACTCTATAATTGATTAAACATTTGAAAAGCATATCATAGAGTACACATTTCTTTACTATCTCTTTTTTGTTTTAAGAATACTTCAAACATTACTTTATAATGGTTTTAGTCACTAATATACCAGCAAATGCTGATGTTAGCCGTTTGGGCAATTGGCCTAACACTCCTTCGGTCTAATGGGTTTATACGCCGATTTTGAATCATGACATGAAAATGCCGTGTGCTTCTAAATCTTCAATGTTATTTGTAACTAGCTGCAGCTCGCGACTTCATCCGCTTGAAATAAAAAGATAATAAAAAATGAAGCCTATGTTACTCACTTCACTCATAACGTAGCTTTTAAACGGTGAAAGAATTTTTGAAATTGCTCCAGCGGTTTTTGAGTTATTTCAATATATACAAAAATACAAATCTTTCCTCTTTATAACATTAGTATAGATTTATATTTTTATTGAAAGTATTGCACTCTCTTCTCGCAAACTTTTGCACAATCGTAAGTCTCCAGTTTATTCTCCGTGTCGATGTGACATGTAATTTGATACGCGCTGTATTTCGCCCGCTTTCTATGTGATCGATGAACGTAATGCATCAGTACTCAAGAAAATTATATTTCGATTTATGATATATACTTTGCTTTGAAAGCGATCTTCAGAGAAAGGGTTAAATCTATACTATATGTACTAGTATAACAAAGCGTAAACACAAGCTATTCTGTGGCGTAGGATGTCAGCCATCACAGCATATTTTTAAATAATTCCTTCTTTAGTAATAAACCTCGCACTTGACACGCTTTATTTTATATATTTCCACGCGATTAAACTTAGGGGTAAATAAATTGGCAAGAAACCTTCATATGCGAAAAGAATCATAAACCACAAGCTGCCAACATTACGGAAGCCAGGTCATTATAGTACTAACGGTAATTGTTACATTTGCAATTGAGAATTTGACAAATTTAAAAAATAAAATAAAGTCCTTGTATCTTCATGCGGATGAAGCCGCACGGGTGCAGGTAGTTTTAGAATAAAATGGAATGGTAGAACATTTAAGTCTACTGGAAGATAACTCCTTTGTAACAATGTAGGATGAACTATGAATTACAAAGTCTAATTAGTAAAATTATTATAGCATTTTTCTAATAGCGAATTATATCATACGTAAGAATCATAATTTAATTCATTAAATTTAGTATGGATGGATGTTAATATATATTTTCAATTTTATTCTATGATCAACGAAATTTAGCGAAGATCTAAATCATAATAGGGAAGAACACCACTTAGTTACTAAGTTTCTTTTTAATTCCTCGGGAACATAATCGCGAGCAAAAGCTAGTTATACCGTATTTTTGTTACAAAAGAAAACCTTAAAGATGAAATGAATCATGATATTTTAGCAATATCCGTTTCGCGAAACATTTAACTATACTCATATTTGTTAACTTACACAATAGTGTTTAACTATCCGTTTTTGGAAAAACCATCATGCAACGCATTAACTATATTAACCCTTTACAATAATTGCGTCTTTACTGTCAACGTTATAGAGTCCTTTTTACACTGACCAATTTATAATGAATTCCTCTTATCCATGTATAGTCGGCCAGTTATTAGGAAAGTCTTTCGATATCTAGAACGACTGTAGGTTTCGTATTGGATTAAGAAATTGTGAATCATTGATCCTTATGTTAACACATATTAAGTTACTAACTTATGCCAGCAACTTTATCAGCGAGTAGCTTTAAAAATCTAGTAATATATAACCTATGTTACTACTAATGTAGCTTTCTATTGGCAAAAGAATTTTTGAAACCAGTCCTGTAGTTTTAGAATTTATTTATTATAAAGATAAAAACATATCTTTCCTTTTCCTAATAAAATTAAAGGCGTAGATACTGTGAATATAGAATTGTTTTGTTCCGTGCTTCTTATTGAATTTTTTACATTCGCATTTTTGATTCACATTACGTCAAATAAAAAAAATGTTAAGTTTACAAAAATGCTTATTAAAAAATATAGCGTTGTAAAAATTATTGATCTTGCGTTTTTTTATAAAAAGTTAGTTTAATATAGCACAAATTTGAAACAGACATAGATTACAAGACGTATTTAATATAATACTATATCATGAAAAAATTAAAATCGTGATGATATCGTAAACACGCGTGACTAACCTAAAAGATAAAAATAATCAGTCGTTTAAACGCTGCGTAATTTGTCATAACTACTTGAAGTGATAATGAGAATTGTCATTTGTAGGTGATTGTACTTATTTTCCAGCACAACTGTACCTCTCAGCTGTTTGTTACGTAAACTGACTTTCACCGTCCGGCGCCGGCGCATGACGATCAATTTAGCCTCAAACGTATGGGCACGGGGCCATTTTGTGCATATATGTACATGATAATGCGAATGTGCAGGTGAGATGTCAACAGATTGTTTTTTAAATGATATCACTCGTTTTTAGGTCGTGTTAAACATGTTACGACCATTTTTATTAATAATTTCGCTAATTTACACTCTTTACACGTATTTTTATATATTGCTTTTATAGTAGGAAAAAAGTATTTTAGTAACAATTATGTAATAAACACTTACCTTAAGTACATGTAGTTACAAAAAGCATTAAAAATAGTTGTTAATGAATTAGTAGTATATGTACAATAAATGTATTTTAAAAGATGTGAGGAAGCAAGACATAGTTAGAGAGCGGAATGGAAATATTTTGGATAGATACATAATATTTTATAGACATTGACAAACCTGCTTACAGTCGTTGCTAAAAGAATTGTAATAAAAAATCTTGAACAAACTATCTATGTCTTGCCGAATGACCACATCTGAGCTCAGTTAGTGACAATTTGATGTTAGTGTCAATGTATTACAGGCCGCCTGTCACACCGAAACGAATCAGCTACACAATAATATAATGTAATAAACAAAAAAATCTCATAAAACATTTTACATCCAGCGATAACACATTAATTTGACATCAATTTAATCTCATGCCGATTGTTTTTATGCGTGCAAAATGTTATAGTGTGACAGCGCGGCAACCAACATTGATCCATAACCAGCTTGTGTTCACTTACTTTCATCATTTATAACGGGACCATAGCTCAATCCCTCGTTCGACGCATAATCTAAGCTGTTCGAGTCTTGAACACCCAAGATACCGGCTTTCGAATTTCTATGGCAGCATCCTTTAAGCAAACCTCCACAAGAACCATCCAATAAACCACCAACCATCCAACAGTACATAAAGAATTCACATGTACCACCTTGGAAGCATTTTTTATCATCTTGTCTATCTAAAGTTGATTCAACAATGTCTGGTTTTATTGCTTGCTGGGTGGAAGCGCTCGGTTGTGCGGTACTGTCTAACAGACGACCTTTTCTTAAACTATTTGTACTCTCCTTTGTACTATCTGTCATTTCTTTTAAAATCTCACTAATTCTCATCATCTGAGCATCTGATATAGGTTTGAACTTTGGTAACACAGCCTCTGTTTCATTCGGATACACGAATATGTCGTGTCTTTTTAAATATTGTACATTTTTCGTTACTCCCGTCTGAATAAACATCGGTTTCTCGAGTTTCAATGGTGTCCCGATCTTTTTTATTCTAAATTCATTTCTCTTTTCGTCGTTTCGAGCTCGATGTGGGTCATTGGCATCTGTTCGGAATTAAAAAAATATATAAATAAATATGATTTGTACAATGCACAGTAAATAAGAGATTAGTGAGCAATATAAAGCAAAATATCACAAAGAACATGCAATTTTTTACAAATATTTATATTCTTATTTAATTATCACTATTTTTTTTATGTAATATAAGGTGGCAAACGAGCACGTGGCCACCGGAATCCACCGAAATGGAAAGCGACCGCTGCCCATAAACATCCGCAATTGCAGATGCGTTGCCCACCCTTAATTGACGGAGGAAGAGACTCACATAAAGAGGACATTTCCCATTTCAATGTGTCTCCTCCACCGTCAAATCCACTTTTCTTACCCATTCTTTCCTCTTAAGAAGAGGGTGGAAAAGAAAAGGTACTAAAAATGGGCCTCCGGCACTACACTCATCAGGCGAAACGCGGAATTGCTCCCACTTCACGCCTGTTTTCTGTGTGGTCGTGGTATTACACCGGGCAAGCCGACCCATTCGTGCGAAGATGTTAAAACGGGCACTACAATTGACGGGTTTGACAGTGGAGGAGACGCATAAGAAGGGAAAAAATGTCCTCTCTGTGTGCGTCTTCTCCGTCCATTAAGGATAGTCAATGCATCTGCAATTGCGGATGTCTATGGGCAGTGGTCGCTTGGCCAATTTAGGGGATTCATCTTTGCCACGTTTTTTAAAATAAAAAAATGTAACTACAGCCTTAAATCATTTTATAGTCAAAAGTATATTAACAAAATATTCGATGTAAGATATCTCTTACAATAATGTGCTAACGGGTGCGATGGATTACGGAGTTTACACCGGGAACTGACTTGATACCTAATGTTTTGATAAGCGACGTTATTTCCGTATTAAAGACAACTTTCACGAACATACTATTTCCCTTCCGTTTCATTTAATAATGTTCACAAAACGACGTGACTGTTATTACTACAAATTTAACCACTTCAAGTGTGTAATTTACTAAATGTATATCTTACTAACTGTCGCCGGCGACTCCGGCTACGTCGACATAAGAATTCTACATTCATGTTGATGACATAAATTTTGTAATACTTATTTTCTCTATTTCCGATAATCCTAAACTATTTTAAGAAGAATAATAAGAACGACGTGTACACAAAAGCTCTATAAATTGTAACATTTTTTCTATAACCAATGAACGTCTTATTTTGTCGATGGTAAAAACGAAGAGTACAAAAACAAAAAGTGTCAGCCACGATGTCGTAATCGTCAAAGATGCGTCGAGTTAAACGGCTTGTGCAACCGACCAATATTTTTCTCGACACTGACTCGAAACGTAGCGTTGCCAAAAAAGTCTATATCATAAATTATTTATATTTAAATGTCGCAGAAACAAGTTTAAAATTGGCGTTAAAATTGTGAAATTGATGCTCTTGTATAGTTGTATATTTTGTTAGTGACAAACAATAGCTATTTTATTAGTTACGGTAGTATGGCACAAAATAATTAAATACCAGCACAACATGTAACATTTTAAGCGAAGTACCCTTAAAAATACCATAAGATTCAGTTTCTCAAAATATTTTTTAATTCCTTGTTAATTACTGTTTTAATTCAATATATAATAATGCAGTTTTAATAATACCTTAACTTATAAAAATTACAGTCGCATTATGTACAAACACTCATGAGGAAAAATTATTAAAGCAAGGTATACTAATCTGTTAACGGTACTTGTCTCACTTTCACGATTTCCTGCACATTACAAACCATGTCGTAATACTTTACCATTATAAGTATTATAAAATTATAATGATTTGTTTCCGGAGCATTGAAATTAGTATAGTTTTATTGTTTCTATTGCCAAAAACATGTACAAATTTATAGTATATTTTTTTTCTATATTTTTTTCAAATTAAGACTTGAACTTTAGGCAGAGGATTTCGAGGTTATATTAATACAGTAAAAAATAATGAAATAAAAATGTGCAATACCGAAATAATCCACTTTTAAACTGACATAGTCTATAATCGGTTACCAAAGGTCCTCTTTAGTGCATTTGAATAATATGTCAAATGTAAACAATACAATAAAGTTTTTATAATTTCACGCAGATGAAGCCGCACGGGAACAGCTAGTATATAAATGTAATACAAAACGCTCAGAATGCGTTTCTTATAGTTTTCATAATACGTTTTTCACTTTTCTTTCCAGCAAAACTTGTTTTCTTAGGAATTTCCTGGTTAGAAAAGATATAACGTGAATCAAAGTAATGTCATTGACACACTGTTGTTAGAGTGAGACAGATTGTGTATTATGTTGTAAATAAAAGAGATAACTGATTGTTCACATGTTCTACGGCACGCCATTTCGCGTGGCAGTGAAATTTACTTTTTATAGAATATTTCCTGAAAACTGGATGGCGGTACGAAATGTGTTTTAAGATAACAGTAAACTATTGTACTATAATGTATAAATATAGTAATTTCTATAAAACAAAAAGTTTTAAAATCTATTTAAACATTTATTTCCACGGAGGAAAACTTAACTTGTATGTATTGGATTCGCTTAAAACAACTTGCATATTTTTAAAAAGAAATCACGAATAACAGTAATCTATATCTATGTATATTCTATACTAATGTTTTAAAGAGGAAAGATTTGTATTTGTGGATTTTTATATGTATTGAAATAACTCAAAAACTACTGGATTTCAAAAATTCTTGCACCATTAGAAAGCTATGTTATCATTGAATAAAATTGGCTATATTTCTATTTTATTTTTTAATTCACGCGGGTGAATTTGCAAGCAACAGCTAGTATACTATATAGTAACTCGTTTTGTTTCATACAAATTTCTACTAGGTGTTATTACTACTACGGCTTATGTTACTAATATCTGAATGACGTTTAAACTTGTTCCATTTTAAAATGTGAAGTTAAATGGTTCCTATTTTGACGTTCAAAAACCGGATTTATCCAAATTCATGGTCACCGAACTCTGCCTATGCAGTTTAACGGGACTCACGGAATATTAACAAACAGGGTTGCGCAACAAAAGACAACTTTTATGGACTTTTTTACAGTTAGTTATGAATAATAAATAGCGTCCATGTATTATATACTAGCTGTTACTCACGACTTCGCCCACGTTAATTAACAAATAAGAAAAAAATATAGGCTATCATCGTATAAGTAACATCTTAATGATAACGTGATTTTTTAATGGTGAAATAATTTTGGAATCTACTCAATTGCAAAAGTCAACTGTTTTTTCAATTTATTGTTCCTCTAAGTTAATAGCGTGATAATATATAGCCTAAAGCGTATGGGTAGGGCTTTTTACTAAAGAAGGGTATATTCAAAAATATACTGTGATAGCTAATATCCTACGAAATAAAGTAGTGTGGGTTTACGCCTTATTATATTAGTACGAGCTGTTGCCCGCGACTTCGTCCGCGTGGTATTAGAAAACATACGAACTATATAAATTACAAAAAGTAACGTATCCCTCGGGAACCGGACATTTCTCTGGGATGAAGCTTATCTCATGTGTACTCCAGACTTTGTTATATATCTGTGCCAAATTTTGAATAAGATATGTTAAATTGTTGCAGAATGATCGAGTGAACATGAAAAAATTAAATTAATGAATCCCACGGGAACCGTAACTATTCGCGGAATAAAAAGTAGCCTATGTGTTCTTCCAGACAATGCTCTAATCCTGTGCCAAATTTCATGGAGATCCGTTCAGCCGTTTAGGCTACAAACGCTAACAAACATCCATCCATCCATCTAAACTTTCGCATTTATAATATTAGTAAGATAGAAGTATAGATATACTTCTAGATTAAATCGACCTAATATTTCTTGACCTTACTATTACAGTAAAAAATGCAGATAACTGACCACCGGAAATGTCAAACAAGTTGCACAACATGAAAATCTTGACATTTCCTACAAAATGTGACATAATGTTATGGATAAGGTATTTCGTAACTACTCTTATGTAACTGGTCAATTAAGACAACGAGGCTTAAACTGACCTCCACATTAACCTTTCTGACATGTCATTTATAGCATTTATGACCTATTTTTGACCTATAGAATACAAAAACATATACCTATGAATATTTCTTGTTCCATTAAAACTATTTTGAATAACTAGAGAAAAACAATTATCTATATTAATATTATAAAGAGGAAAGATTTGTATTTTTGTGTGTGTTGAAATAACTCAAAAACTACTGGGCCGATTTCAAAAATTCTTTCATCATTAGAAAGATAATTTATCTGTGAGTAACATAGGCTATACTTTTTGTTGTTTTTAGATTTCACGCGAGCGAAGTCGCGAGCAACAGCTAGTTTTGAATAAGTTTCATAAAAATTATTAACTTTTAACCCTATTATAGCTAATTACTACTAAATATAAGTACAGAATGCTTTATATTTCGTGTCTTCCGTTTATGTTTATAGTTAATTGTTTTCAACGGGAATAACAATATTTTAGATGTGCGATTTTCTCACACCGATATAAAAACCTAGAATAGAATTATTTTAAAGTTTGCAAATTCACCGGGTCTATGTTTCTTGACTAAAATCTATTTTTTAATACAATGTTTTATCAATATCAACAACTTTGCAATATAATAAGAAACACGATATATTACAGATATAAAAAACAACAACAAGCAATGCTATTTTCTACATCTCGATCGTGAGAATGGACGACACCGGTGAAAAGTTAGGTTTCACTGATCGCTATGACAAAAAGCAGATAACATCTGGGAACTGAGCGAGCATTGTATGCAGCACGAAAGTGTTGTTTGTTTTGATGTGAAAAATATTTATTATTTTAATCCTTTCTAAATTGTAACATTCATTAAAATATTAACGTTCTCAAAGATTTAACTCACAAAAGTGTCTAGATTATTTAATCTTGCCTTATTGTTTTGTCAGGGGCTTTAAACTGCGGCCCGCAGCTTGTTTATATCACCGACTCTACTGTGACACTTATTAATAATGTAATATATATTATTGGAAATAAAATAGTAATGTATGCAGATGAATAATTTCTCTATAGAAATACGTCACGTTACGTATTTACGTGCCTCTACATTTGTTACTACACAGAAATGACGTATTTTTTTTGTTGAATATTGTACATAGATAATTATTCCGCTAGGTCAATATTCGGAACCGATCAAAATCGCCAAAGGAGGCTAACTCGGCCACCATTACGTCAACCATTACATCAGTTCGCCATTTTGACAAGGAAAGCATCTTTGTTAGGTTGCGCAAGAGACGCTCGAAAGCGGGTCTAGAAAGTGTACGATCATGCTAAGTTTCGCTGAAGGTTCTCAAATATAACCTATATAAATGACCTAAAAGGGTAATCGATCTTTTAAACACCTCCCGTTAACTATTTTTTCTACTTTATCCAAACCGTATGAGTTTGACAATCGTATTTGCATTTGAAAAACAGATGAAGAACAGAATGCAAAAAATATAACAATAACTTTAAATTATGAAGCAACATTACCTGCTGTTAACAGCTTATTGATATTCTTAAAAAAATGGCAACATTTTATGAATCAATATTGCAAAGTCGGCAAATCGTGCAGACTGCCTACTTAAAATCGGGAAAAGAATGCACAAGCATATATCATTTTTGATGCCGATTGCAATTGTTAAAAGGAGTCTTATTAAAATTGTAATTAGAAATAGAATTGCTTGTATGTTATACACTCTCGATTTTTATGATCGCGTGATGATATGTAGCGTGTATTCTAATGAAGGGAACAGGCGACGCGTGGTAATTGCGAGTGTCTTAATTATAGTGCTCTGAGCGACCGCTAAGTTTACGAACAATATTTTGATACACTCCTAGCATATACGTACATTTTTAATGTACTTGTACTCTACTAGACCTAATTATGTACCTAATCCCTTATGACATACAACATGTAGATAATGCATACTTATGCTTTACTATAAAAAAGCTTTTTAGGTAAAGGCTGGTTTAGGGTTTACAAAGTATTGGATTAGACATTACTTCGACCTTAAAAACAAATGATTCTATAGTAATATCGTATGTCGTCATATTACATATAAATAAATCTGCAAAGCTTTATTTTTGTAGACTTCCAGTTAAATACAGATAATGTAATGTGAAAAGTGTGGGAATAAATCTTAAATCCTATTCAGAATTTTCTTCAGTTAACTTTTATATGGAACGTGACAAGATTGTATCTCGAGATTATATTTTACCGTGACTCGCTTTAGTAATCGTGCGACTAACAAAGCTTACGTTATCAGATCGAGAAAACTCCCGAGGAAAGCTTTTGAAAGTGCTGTATATATCATTTGTATTGTAACAAAGAATAAATTAAAAAAAAAACAACAATAATAATCAGGAACTACACTTATTGTATTTGTACGTATTTATGTCGGTCGTTAATATTAACTTGCATTTCCACTACTGAAAACATGTACAACTTGATACCATCTCTTTCTTTTTCATTGTAAAAAATAGAGATAAATATATATTTTTGTATGTGATTGTGGATATCCATGGTTTGAATGTAAACTACTGTACATTTTATAGTACTACGAGTATTACATGTACGGTCAGAGATGTTTGTGTCAGCTCAAACAGATTCAAAATTTTTTAACTTACACCTGATTGTTGCAATTTCTGCATTTTCAAGAATTGTTTCTTGGCATTCCTTAGTAACTGTTAACTTAATACGTTTTGTTCACACTTTTATCTCCTCTTTCTCAAGCAAAAGGTAACAATTTCGGTGTTATACCACCGTTAACTTTAAAATTGAATTATATAACGCTTACCTCTCTCCGCGAAAGCATCCGCACTGCCCGTTCCGATGTCCTGCAGGCTCTGTTCCTCCGCACCGATGTCATTGGTGCCGAAGTTTTGTTCACGGAACACAACATTATCGTTCACATTAGGACCTGCGTGTGAGTTTGTTTGCACTGAGTTCACATTGTCTGACGCGTACGGAAACACAACACGGGGACTTCGCGCCTTCCAACCACTATTCGGTCCGTAAAACCCATTCCGCACAGCCGGAGCGAATGTATATGGATCGAAACCATAACCCGGCGCGTAAGGACGACCGAATCGACCCTGATAATACTTAGGAAACACTTGCAAAGCAGGCGCTCGATACCGCGGTACAGGTTCATAGAACCTATCGTTACCTGAAGGAGTTTCTTCTAACATTTTTGTAGAACTAGCACCATCATCGGGCGATGTGAACTCATAATCCGCCGCATCAT